TGACATCACTTCCATGGCAACCATTATGCATTCCCATTGTGACCTCGGTTACCATGGCAACCATTATGTATTCTCATTGTGAACTCGGTTACCATGGCAACCATTATACAGTCTCACTGGTCACGTTGGTTACCATGGCAACCATTATGCATTCTCATTGTTACAAGCGGTTACCATGGCAACCATTATGCATTCTCATTGTTACAAGCGGTTACCATGGTAACCATTATTCATTCTCATTTGCTATGGCCCGGTTACCATGGCAACCATTATGCATTTGCATCGCTAGGGTCGATTACCATGGCAACCATTATGCATTCTTTATTGATCACGTTGTTTACCATGGTAACCACCTGTAACACACAGATAATACAGAAATGCCGAAAAATTGTTTCTCAATTGTTTCTGCCTGTCAAAAACTTCCTACCAAACATTCTCTGTCAGTTCTCTGCCAGAAGTTTTCACCAGGACTTCCCACGGCACTTTTCCTGCCAAAAGATCCTGCCGTTGTTTATGGTTATCATAGCTCCTCCAACATCTGAACTGGTTACATGCCAAGAAAGCACGTTCAACCTCCTGTGAACACTATAAAAATTGAGGACAAATTTTGGAAAATCAGGGAGAGGAAAGGGAGAGAAAACTGGTGACTGTAGCTTAGAATTTCTCCCCACCTCCCCTCACCTTTTCTCCACCACCGCGTGCTGCGTGCCTGCCACTGGAGACTGGAACTGTGCCGGCCTGGAGAGAGCTGAGACCACCGTGCCACATGTGGGAGTTCTACCTTATCCTTCTACCCTGACCATATTTCTGAGGGCCCAAAGCTTTGGCTGAGCAGAGACCCTGCACAGCCTGGGACAGGGGTGTGAGCAGTGAAACCACACATGGTGCATTGCAGAGAAATAAAGCTGTCAGACCCCCTGCAGCTACAAAGACAACATCCAAAAGCTGCAGGGACAGAGAAAAAAAAGGCAGAAACTGCTTCTCCCCACACACACACACCAGCTCAGTGGGAAAAGGCAGTTTTCAGTGGCATCTTTTCTCTGCATCTAGAAATAATCTTAGCAGTTTCCAACCTTTTCTTATTTTTTTCTCATTCTCTTTGCATCTCTTAGGAATTAATAAAAATCAGTTTTTGGTATCAACAGATAACTTGTGAGTTTTAAGTTTTGCTCAAGGGAATATTCGAATCTTAAGTTCTTTCTGCAATATTTAAGCAGATTGTAGCAAGGGACAATGGAAAAGTGGAAGGAAAAGGGAGAACGGTGGAAAAGGGAGGGTGGTCTGGCAGGTCCAATGATCCCATGGGGGTCTTTGGGCCCAAAAGTGCTGGGAAAGGGGGGTGGTCCCCTGAGCTCCCAACTGACTGTGGGGTGCTGGGGGCTGCTGGATCCAATCTCAGCCTTGGGTTATGACAACCGGTTCAGTTCACAGGAATTACAGAGGTGGGACTGAACCACTTTTGTCCCCCAGGTTTTAATAACAGCAAATCAAATCTATAGATAGAAATAAATTCTTTAGGGTTACAAATCATCAGACAAAAGATCATCAGAATTATTTACTGCACAATAGAAACACTAAAACTACCAGTAGTACTGGATAAGATAGGACAGTGTTCTACACTAAAGCAATTGTTGAAGCAATTCTACTCAAACTGGCAGCAAAGCAAGAATTATTCATTAGAGATGGACGGAACTCCCTCAGACCGACGCTCGTGGGGAGATCTCTGCTCTCAACCTCCAGCAGTGACCTTGGGGGGTCCCAGCCAAGGCAGGAATCTCGACACCCCCCCCAAGAAGGGATCTGTTGGCACAACCTGCCCCTGGGAAAGGGCACTGGTCCTTTCTGGAATAAAGGGATGGACTGACAGTCACTGGACTCCAGGGGTTGCCTCACCATCAGGGGGGTCATTCAGGGTGGGAGCAGCGGCCAAAGCTCTTCCCGCAGTCAAGGCACTCGTAGGGCCTTCCCTTACTGGTGGGTCCGTTGGTGTTTGGTCAAGTTACCTCTCTGGGTGAAGCTCTTCCCACATTCCCCACACTTGTAGGGCCTCTCCCCGGTGTGGATGCGCCGGTGGGTGACGAGGGTGGAGTTCAGGCTGAAGCCCTTCCCGCAGTCGGTGCAGCGGAAGGGCCTCTCACCTGTGTGTGTCCGCTCATGCACGAGGAGATGTGAGCTGCGCTGAAACCTCTTCCCACATTCCAAGCACCTGTAGGGCCTTTCCCCAGTGTGGATAAGCTGGTGGTTGCGGAGGCTGGAGCTGTCACTGAAGCTCTTCCCACACTCCCTACACTTGTAGGGCCGTTCCCCAGTGTGGATGCGCTGGTGTTGGAGCAGGTTGGAGCTGTTCCTGAAGCTCTTCCCACATTCCCTGCACGTGTAGGGCCGTGCCCCAGTGTGGATGTGCTGGTGGCTGAGGAGGTGGTTGCTCTTCCTGAAGCTCTTCCCACATTCCAAGCACCTGAAGGGCTTCTCCCTGCTGGGAGGCTGCTCAGGGACCACCAGCTCCGAGCTCCGGCTCAAGCTCTGGCTGCCTTCCCGGCACAGGACGGGTCTTTCCTCCTCAGAGCACCCTGGGCTGGCTTTGCAGCCCCTCCTCTGGGGGCATCTCCGGGCCTTTTCCTCCCCGCTGCCTTCCTGCGCCGGGGAGCCCTTCAAAACGGCCTCTCCCACCAGGCTCTGCTGGGGAGATTTGTCCTCCGTGCTCTTCGTCCTCAGCTCGGGGCCTGGAGCAGGAAGGAAGAAGGACAGGCAGGGGATTTGCCTCTGGCCCAGAGGGAAGGCCAAGGACATCCCCCAGACCCAGCCCCGGCAGGACAGCGGTGCCAGCGGGGTTGTCCTGCAGCCGGGGGCGATGCTCGGCTGCCACAGGCACCACAAGACAGGGTCAAAGGGGCACTGACTTCCTCCTCACCTGCCTGGGGGGCCCGTGACCTCTTCCTCTTCCTGCAGCCTTCTCCTCCATCTGCCCAAGCTTTGGGAAGGACAAATCCTGCTGGGGGGAAACAAGGGCTGAGCGCGTTGCTTTGGGGGTTCCTCCTGCCCAAGTCCATCCCTAGAACTCACCGGGCATCCTCTGACCATAAAAAGCTCCAAAACACCAAAAGCCCTCCCAAAAAAACTCCTCCCCCAGAACTTCAAGGTTCAGACCAAAAAAACCCCTTCCAGCAGTTCCCCCTTATCAGATCTCTCCCCTCTGGGGTTCTGGGGGATCCCTCCTATTTGGGTTGCTGGGGGGTCCCTTGTGTATTGGGGGATGCCCCTCTCCAGGGTCCCTGCCCTCTCTGGGTTCCTGGGGGTCCTGGACTTCCCCCGCTCCAGGGTCCCCCTGCTTAGGGATGTTGGGGGTTTTGGAGGCCCCAGGGGTCCCTTCTCCCCTGACTCTTTGCTTTGGGGAGCTGGGTCTCTCAGGAGTCCCACCTCTCTGGAGTCTCCCCCTCTCCAGGCTGCTGTGGGTCCCGGGAATCCCGGGGGTCCCCCTTCTCTATGCTCCAGGGGTCTCAGCAGCCCCCACCGGCTGTTCCTCCTCCTCTTCCTGCTCCTCCTGGCCTGGGTCCCCCCCATTCCTGGCCAGTCTGGTTTTCCAGACCCCAGACTTTCTTTGACTCCAGGACCCCCTGCCCCCACTTTCCTCACCATCCCATCTCTCCCAGTCCCTGCATCCTCTTGTTTCCCTCACGCCGGGGACCCTCAGCCCCCCATTCCTGGCTGGCCATCCCCTGGCACCTCAGCAACAGCTCCCATTTTCCTTGACCCTGGGACCCCCTGAAGCCCCTTCCCAGTTCCCACAGCTCTCCCAGTTTCTCCCTTCCCTTGACCCTGGGACCACCCTGACCCCCAAATCTCCAGGTCTCCCCAGTTCCCCACTCCTGGTTTATCCTGCAGGGCGGTCCTGGGGTGTCCCAGGGACCCCCTGAACTCCCCATTCCTGTGCACCAGATCCCCGTGAACACCCTTATCCAGGACCAGGACCCCCCTGCACCCCCTTTCCTGGCCATCCCACCTCTCCCAGACTCCACAGTCCCTTTGCCTTTACCTTGGGACTCCCTGGACCCCCAGTCCTGGGCATCAGGACCCCACTGCCCCCCCTTTCCAGCATTGGAACTTCCTTTCACCCCCTTCCTCAGCTCCAGGACCCCTTGCAATAACCTCTTCCCCGGCCCTCCCGCCTCTCCCAGCCCCCAGGTCCCTCTTTTCCTTGACGTGGTACCCCCTGGATTCCCATTCCTGTCTTTTCCAGACTCCTGTATCCCCCTTTTTTTGTTGTTGTTTTTGAACACCGGGGACCCCTGAACCCCGTTTTCTGGACCCCACGACCCTCCCTTTCCCCGACACCGGTGACCCCCTGCAGAGGCTCTCCCTGGACCCCCCATCCCACCTCTCCCGATCCCTGCCCTCCCCTTTCCTTGGCCCTGGGATCCCCTCCAACTCCCCTTACCCCCATTCCAAGACACCAAGATTCACCCTAAAAAGCACTCCATGGGTTCCCCCCTCTCCGATCTCCCCGCTTTGGGCAGTCCGAGGGGAGGCGCGGGGGGGAATTGAGGAACTCCTGGCAGTGTTGGGGACAATCAAAGAGTTCCTGACACGTGGCCGGGGCCTTTGTTCGGCCCGCCGGGAATCGACCACAAACCTCAGTCCCGAGGGTCCCCCCTGGCCGGGGATCAAGCGATGGGGACACAAAGGGACCCCCATGGGAACCCCTTTCCCACTCTCCCACCTCCCCTTATTCCCTTCTCCCATCCTTTTCCCGTCGCCCCCCTGCCCCCCATCAACCCCGGCTTGCTCCTCCCCTCATCAGTCGGTTTTGTGAGAAAAATCTCATTAAATTTAGAACAATGGCAAAAGTTTGCAAAACAAAAGGAACATAAGGAAAAGGAGAAAAACGACACGTGTCGGGTGTCCCAGTCACGCAGGATTCCTAGGAACACACCTTTCAATTTAAAAGTCCCGCTTTTTAAACATTCCTAAGGTCCAACCTCATTTATGGAACCCAAGAGGCGTTTCCTTCTCCCTGCTTGGCCGTGTCGTGCTGGGAGGTGGAGCGTCCAACAACAGGGCAGGCCCCGGGACCCACCACGTGGCACGAGGGGTTTCCTTACCAATATTCATTGTACAGTTTTCCTATTCCCGTCCGCCCAGTTCCTGACGTACATTCCAAGACTGAACTGTATGTCTTACAACTTTCGCGGAACGCTTTAAGTTAGGAATAAGAAAAATAAATTAAAAAATACCTTCTTGTCAGTATCCCTTGTCTATTCTATTTGCTTATAATAAAAACGGTTTTTTATTTCCCACAGTTTGGGAGGGACTCACCCCCTCTCTTGCTCACTTTGGAGGTCCCACCCCCTTTCTCCTTCCTCTCTCCCCTTTTCCCATCGCGTGCCCCCCAAAGCCCAACTTACCGGGGGAGCTCCTCGCTCGGGAACGGAACTTGGGGAGGAAGAGGGGGAGGAAGAGGGGGAGGAAAAGGGGGAGGAAGAGGGAGAGGAAAAGGGGGAGGAGGAGGGGGACGAGGAGGGGGAGAAAGAGGGGGACGAGGAGGGGGAGGAGGAGCGGGAGGAGGGGCGGGAGGAGGAAAAGGAGGAGGGAGAGGAGGAGCATCTTCCTCCCAATCCCTCACGTTGCTGCGGGGGAGGGGAGAGCTCCTCTCAGATATTTTGGGGAGGGGCCTCTGGGGTGGTTTCGGGGTGGGGGATGTTTGGAGTTCCGAAGCTGAGCCGCAAATGCCCCTCGGGGGACCTTGAAGGGTCTCCTGGGGGTTTTCTTTTCTTTTTGTGAGGGGAGGGGATCCCGGTGTGGGTTCCTGGCAGAGCCCCGGGATTGGGCGGGGGATGCGGGGACTCCCCGCGGTGGGGGTTGGTGTTCCGTGGTCAGCCCGGTCCTGGCGGGGGAGGGGGACGCGATGACACCCTTTTTTAAGGGACCCCGGAGTGGGGGAAGCAGAGAGGGGTCACAGCAGAGCTGAGGGACCCCCCGGCTGTCGGAGAGCGTGGAAAGGGTGAATAGAGAGGGGTGTGGGGGACTGGGGACCCCGGACCCTGAAACAGGGGGCTCTGAGAGGGTGATGGCCAAAAAGGCACCCAAAAAAACCCCCAAAAGTTAACAAGGGTTCAGCTGGTGGAGCTTCTCCTGTTTGCCCTCCTTACTCTGCTGGAAGAATAAATCAGGTAAATGAGATGTTGCAATGGGATACAGAAAACCCAGAGCCAGGACTTTGCAGGCTTGAAGGATTCAGGTCACCTAATAGGGGAGTTCTCTGAGCAATTCATCATTCCAGGGCTTTTTCAGCATCAAGGGGGGACCCCCCGGGATTCCCAGGAACTCCAGCAGCCCGGAAAAGGCCGAACCCCAGAGAGGGGGGGCCCCCCAAAACACAGGGGACCTGCCAACAGCCTGAACATGGCAGAGGACCCCAAGAACCCTGCAAAAGTTGGGGGGCTCCTTTGTTCCTCCAGGTTTCAAAATGCTTTGGGGTTCCTTTTATTAGACCAGGTTTCAAAATACCAAAAGAACCAGATAGATCTGAGGGTCAAAAACAACCAGGAAGTCCTGAAAGCCAAAAAGACCAGGATAGACCTGGAGGTCAAAAAGAACCGGGGAGACCTGAAGGCTAAAAATAACTGCACAGACCTGAGGGCCAGAAAGAACCAGGGAGACCTGAAGGTCAGAAGGAACTGGGTAGACCTAAAGGCCAAAGAACCAGATAAAGCTGAGAGCCAAAAAAAAATCGGGTAGACCTGAGGGCCAAAAAGAATCAGACAGACCTGAAATGCCAAAAGATTTGGGGAGACCTGAGGGCCAGAAAGAGTCAGACAGACCTGCAGACCAAAAAGAACTGGGGAGAAACGTAGGCCAAAAAGAACTGGGTAGACTGGAGGGCCAAAAAGAGCTGGGGAGATCTGAGGTCCCAAAAGAACCAGACATACCTGAAAGCCAAAAAGAACAGAGTAGGTGTGAGGGCAAAAAAGAAGTGGAAGACCTGAGGGCCAAGAAGAAGAGGCAGACATGAGGGCAAAAAAAATCAGACAGACCTGAGAGCCCAAAAAGAACCAGGCAGACCTAAAGGCCAAATTGAACTGGGTAGACGTGAGGGCCGCAAAGAACCAGGCAGACCTAAAGGCCAAATAGAACTGGGTAGACCTGAGGGCCCAAAAAGAATCAGACAGACATGATGGCCAAAAAGAACTGGATAGACAAAAGGACAAAAAGAACCGGACAGACCTCTAGGCCAAACACACTCTGACAGACCTGAAAGCCGAAAAGAACTGGCTAGACCGGAGGGCCAAAAAGAACCAGGTAAACCTGAGGGCCAAAAAGAACCGGGTAAACCTGAGGGCCAAAAAGAATCGAATAAACCTGAGGGCCAAAAAGAATCGGATAAACCTGAGGGCCAAAAAGAATCAGACAGACCTGAGGGCCAAAGGGAACCGGGGAGACCTGAGGGTAAGAAAGAACCAGACAAACCTGAAGGCTAAAAAGAACCAGGGAGACCTGAGGGTCAGAAAGAGCCAGGCAGACCTTAAGGCCAAAATGAACTGGGTAGACCTGAGGGCCAAAAAGAACCAGACAGATCTGAAGGCCAAAAAGAATTGCGGAGTCGTGAGGGCTAAAATGAACTGGGTAGACCTGAAGGCCAAAAAGAACTGGG